ATGCAAGATTCTTCTAGCTAATAAGGTGCTTCAAGTACAAGTATACAATTTTATCTCTCAATCAATATGGAAAGCAAAAACATCTGCTCTAAACCCAAAATAATTTCTTCTTTTTAGCCCAACATATATTTTACAGGTAGATCTCAAAAATCTGAGGGTTAACATGGACTTTAAAAGGTGCACAACTTGCCTTCACACTTTCACATGACAAGGAAGTGTCTCACATTTATGGCTATGACTGATTACATAAAAATTCAGTAGATATAATCTTGATTCTGAATAGCCCCAAGCCAGTCAAAATGTACACTGACTAAGAATGCATTGCTTTTATATGAAAGTCTGAAATACCAAAAAATACCTTTGATTCAAAGAACACCACCCACAGTAAGGATCCTTTGCAGATAAGCATTCTTGCTTGGAAACATATCTACCACAGTTTGCAACTGGTATTCTTCTCACCTAAAACCAAAGAATGCAACAACAGACCGAATTAGAGTAGCCTCCATAAACAGGGAAATTGAGGGTTACCATTAAAAATCTGACAGCAACCAAGCACGATCCCTTCAGGAAAGTTTCCTTATGGACTCCCCTCTGCCAGAAGACCTTCGGATAGAAATATGCAGCCTACTTCACACACTCTGTATTTTGCCATCAGATGATGAAACTTCTCTGACAATGACAAGGCTAGCATGGACAGAGTAATGCAGGAAAGGCTAATTAGCATAGTGAATTACAGATAACAATAGAAAGGAGGTACATTTTACAAATAATGTTCTGCTTAGCAGAACATCATTTTCCTCTCATCAGAACTGAGGTTTTTAAAATGATTGATGAAGGAGCATCCAAAAACGCATGCGCAAAACAAAATGCATCTGTGTTTGCATCACCATGTCAGGTAACTGCATGTGCACACTAGAACAAACGCATGCAACTACTCAGCATGCAGGAAAATGCCATTTCCATAAGTAAATGTAGATAAGTGTGGCTATATTGTATGTAGCTATACTTGTACATTCAGTTCGAATATCCTAGCCAGCCATTTTCAGAAAAAGGAAAGGAAAAAGAAAGAGAAAGCTGATTACAAATACGGAACACAAATACAAATAATGCTATTAATAACAATGTTAATTAATAATATCAGAAAAAAAATATTTCTACTTCCAACCATTTTTTTTACAAATTTGCAAGAATTAAAAGTTCAAGTTCCTATATTCTGTGAACAGATCAAGGATACATGGCTTTCTCCAGAACTATATATTTATTTTTTTCCCCGACATATCTTGTAAAATTCTGTTTTCTGAAGGTGTGTGAGATAATCAGTTTAGGAACCAGCCAACATCACAGACTACGAACAAGTTAAAGAAGACAGGGTAAAAGCCTTATTTAAGCTCCAAGACATGATCAGAGAGAAGCATTAATTCCTAAAAGCTGTTCCTCTACATCAACTTGCTCTTTTACCAAAGCCAAAAAAATTTAAAATCTTTACTTTGAATATCTACATACTTTTGACTGAAATTTTGATTGCTTCTATATTTGTGATAGATGGTTTATATCAGTCAGGAGTTCTCTTGACGACTTACCCACTCTCTCAGACGGCAGGCTAAAATGTTATGTTCACGGCTGGAAAAGTGATTTTATTGCAAATGAAGGTAATCGAGCGCTGGGTGAAATCCTGTCCAGCTAAGACGGACAGCCAGCCCTTATGTTTTCACTGCCATCTTCCCCACTGCTGGTGAGACAAAGGAATTTGCTGAGTTGATGCTCAGCAGCCCTGCTGCAGTATGTGCTGCAACAACTCCACCAGCTCCTGGGTGCTGTTCGCTGCTTGAGATGCAGCTCTGATGCATTTGCTCACATGCAGTAGCTCCCACTGACTGCTGAACTCCTTGGCCTCATTATGCACACACATTAATCACTTCTGAGTGTGCTTTTGTTTTGTTTTTTTAAAGTCTATGTGTAAGTGAAGACAATGAGAATTTTATCACTGACTTCAGCAGAACTAAGACTTCAAACCCATCTCTCAAAGAAGAGATTTATCCACATGAGAAACTTGGTAACTGCCCAGCGAACCCTGGCCTACCAATACCTGGACTGCTAATTCAGAGGAACTCTGACTCCAAAGAGCCTGCAAGTTCTGTTTGCTACCTCCAAGCTTGATTCTCCATGGTGCCTCCAGGAAAAAGAGAAACAAAGCCTCTCTTCACAGATTGACATAAAGGTAGCATGGAATTAAGGGTGTTGCTGGATCATAGCAACAGTGGGCAGCACCATGACAGGGGAAGCCCTTCTGAGCTCTGCAGAAGTGCAGCCCAAACTGAGACAACATAACCAGATATTAGATGTAAATTTGGTAACTGCAGTTTTTGGATATTTAAGGTCTAACTCTGACCCAAACTGATGCTTCACCTATAAAGTGGCAGAAATCCTTAAAGCAGTAGTTTACGTGAATTTATTATTTTATTTAACGTTGTGCTTACCTTATTGGCAGAGGACAGATAGATGTAGTTATTATCTACTGGATCAAGTCGAAGTTTGGGGAAAATGGAGGTTTCTTCCTCAATTTCGTATAAAACCTCTGGGCAATTAGATTCCATATTCTCATTAAGAATAGCCTAAAACATATGAAATAAAATTATTCACAAGGCCTTCTATTGGTCTGTCAGCATTTTAAACAAAAGCCTAAGTTCAGCTACATCAGAGCTTCTGAGGTGATTTACTGTGTCTTGATTCAATTCATCTATTGCACTGGCTCTCACATTGGAGAAAGATGAAAGAAAAGACCACCAGGACTGAATTTCAACAAAATCTATTCCAGACACATTTGCACTGAATGGGCACTGGTTTAGTGCATGAAACATCCCTCTCACCAAGTATGTTCCTGATTGACACAGAAACGGAATGTGGAAGAGACGCCTGTATCCCGAAGTCATAATGTGTTAAGTACTCGTCTGAGTGCAATAGAAAGTACTACCCTTCAGAAAACAATAAATTGACATCCAAACACCCATAATGTAAAAAGGAAACCAGTTACTGACAACTGCCTTCAGGACAGAAGTTTCTTTGTGGCTTCTGTAAGTATACCTCTGAGGTGGTATTTCTTTTTCCTACCTTGTTCAACTCTACAGTTTTCCACCACCTTTTGCACAGAATTCAAGAGAACCAGAGACCACAGAAACTTTATTTTGCATGTTAATAAACACACCAACATTCATATAAGGTTTTAAACATGACTAAACAAGGGAGAGATGTTCATGGTCTCCACTATGCTAAGGAGACATGAAGACTTCAATTTCATGTTTCATTACCAAAAGCAGAGTGAAATCAAATGGGTAAAAGCTCTGCAAGCTCTCTACTGTATTCCCCTCCAACTGCCTGCTTAATAAAAACAAAAAATGAGAGTCATCCTTTGCAGTGTAGGCAGGAAATGCACATTCTTGCAAAACCCAGAAAAAAATAAAGACTAAAAGACATTTGACTGTATGGTTGAAAAGACTCATAATGAGATAAGATGACTTTCACTTCCAGGCAACCGATTTAAGCTAGAGTAGGTCAACTATTCAGAAGCTAAGGCAAAATGAAACTTGACTTTCCCCTTCAATGGACAACTATTGGCATCACACAGGTAGGCTAACAAACAAGTAAACATGCTCCCAAAATCTAACAGTATTTAATATTTCTACTGGAAAATCAAAGCAAGGAAGGAAACAAAAGACAGAATGACTAAGAACTCCACAGTCCATAAACTGATACTGTGGGCATTAGCAGTTTAATGAAATGTTTCCATTAATTTTAAGCAGGGTACATAATTGCTTTTGAAAGTAATCTTGCTCTCCAAGTAAAAATACAGTAGTTTCTTCACAAACAAATGAAAAAGGAACAGAGATTCAGGGGATTATATCTCTCTATAACACAGTGCCTAAACCAGGAAGCCTTTACCCACTTGAACACGGCAACAGCTGATGGAGAAGGGAAGAACTGCCACTCTCATCTTACCTTCAGTAACTGTCCATCATCTGTTCCCAAAAAGAGAACTATCTGATTCAAAACAACTGTGCCATAAACAGCCACTAATCCAGAGTGAATCAAGGTAGGTAATTTCTTGATTGATTGTTCCTCCTGAAAATCAGATATAAGAGAAAGCTATTACAAAATCATTCACCTATACTGCAAAACATTAAGAAAAAGAAGAATCCCTGGAAAGATTCCCACAGAACTCAACTTCAGACAATACTTCGGGTAACGTTTTAATTCTGACACACTTTCAGAGGAACAGATCATTGGAAACGGCACATGAAACATGAAACTCATTCTTTTTCATACATGGTATGTATGTAAAATCACCTAGTGATTCTATGATTCTATGGTAACTGGTGGTGTCTGTGATAGAGATTCCATCTGCCGCAGCTAAATCACTGACCCCAGTGGTACACAGACTGGCCAACCAGCAGCAAGTTACTTCACAACAGAATTTCTCTTTTTTGGGACGTAATGTGCTGGGGCTTATTCTGAACTGCTGGTTCTTCTCAGTGAAGCCATGCTTTGCCATCACCTGACTGCACCTACCATGAAGGCTACAGATGCACTCAGAGAAAGTGAAAGGAGGCACTTCAAACACACAGAATTATTTGCGTGTGTGTGCGTGTGAGAAAATGCAGAGCTTCATCCTCCCCTTTCTGGTTTCCCACAACTAAAGGAAGTTGAGACCTGTATATTAGATAAACGTAGAAATGAGATAAAGCTGTATAAAGTTAATGTCAAGGAAAACATAAATGTATCTGTGTGAATTTTAAAATCAACACGTGACCTACAACTCTCTGTCCAAGCTGGAGGAAGTTAAGTGACAAACACGTGTAAGCAACCCATGAAAGAAAACATCATGCAAGAAACCACTGTATCTTGTGGAAGAAAAAAAGAAACCAAATAACCCTAATGATTGAGTGCTGAAAGCAAGCCCTAAGGTGTGAGAATAAGGTTACTCACCAGGTGAGAGATGGTGTCTGTCCCAAACTCCCTACAAACCCAGGTATCTCCCAGCAAGCAGTACCTCAGTTTTGCAGTCATGTAATTGCTTTAAGTCAATCTCCACAGCAGATACTGCAAAAGGGGTGATCCCACCTGCCCTCCAAACAGGTCCAACCACAGCCAAGCTCTACCTCCCCTTCCCCTCTGTTAGTACAATGCTTTCCAGTAAGCTTAGCTAAGGAAATTATGTGCCCAGAAAATGGTCTGCAAATCCATCTACCTACCTACCTAAATTTTCATTTGAGTCATCCTCCCCATCACACGAACACGTGGCTGCATGGGCACCAGTGCTGGCACAAAGGAGCGGCAAGCATGGAGAGGTGAGGGAAGAGCTCGGGTAGGACCAGGTCCTTGGGAACAAGCCCAGCAGGTCAGCTTACAAAGCTCAGAATCTCAGCCTCAAGGATGGATTCCTAAACCTACAGAAACACACTCTGTGTGCAAAAACCTATGTCACTAACGCACAAGACAAGGTGTGAGAATGGACCATTAAACCTGACATTTTGCAGAAAGGTGAAGGCATTTCTTGAAGTTGTTAAGCCAATTGATAACACAGCTACAGCTGAATTCAACTCTCTTGCATGCTAGGATGCTGGCTTAACCCCAGAAAGTCTTTCCACATAGAAATAGGGTTTTTTTTTTCCTAAACTGCAATCCTAAATCAGTTAAAATCTTTTTCAGTCATTTGAATTATTTTAATTAGCTTGCAAGAACAGCCACTTGGAGTAAAGAATCCTTGATTAACTTTCATATTTAAAAATTTTTTTTCATGCAGCACAAAAAAGACACAGGAACCGTCATGTACTGGCACAGAACTTCAGTAAAACCCACTTAGGCATGAGACTTCAGCACCATGGAGGTCTCTTTTAGATAGGAGGGGTGGTTGATGAAGTGATTGCAAGCATTTTAAGGCTGAAAAATTTAACCCACTTTTTTATTAGATCAGAAGGTAGCAAATCTCCAGCACTGGTGCACACAGTGAGCTAAGGAGTGAGGAGGTGAAGCTTCCAGGCTTTCACTTCCACCAGAATTAAGAATTTTTTTTTGCAGAGCACTGTATAGTAGCGCAAGGAAAACAAACCACCCCAGATCTAATTTCCTTACAGACTCTGTACAGAAAGATGACCAAAGAGGGGAGGACTCACCCACTCTGAAAATCTTTGCTGCCAGATTTTATTTTGACCCACATACTAATAAAATAACTAGTGTCGTATCAGTGCATCCTCCTCATCTGACTGAAGAACCAATAGTGACAAGTGTGGAAGCCTCCTCCCCTCACTCTGCTTGCTAGAGGGAGGGTCAATGCGACATTGAGCTAATACAGATAAGAAGAGAGGGAATTCAGATAGCGGGCAGTCACAACAAAAATTGCCTCCTCTCCTTTGCAACCTACTTCTCCAGCTTGCCCATTCCCTCCAGGGTGCAGCTGCTGCTTTCACCCTTCTGTCATCCCTTTTCCATGTGCATTTATTTTTTTAACAAGCCCTTTTACCTCTCCCACTGTGACTAATGGGGTTACAGCACTGTAGGGCCTTCCCAAGCTTTTTCTTTCACAGCTAAAGCCATCTTGAAAATGCTTTTGGAGTCTAAACTTCCTTTATACTTGATCATCTGTTTATCCTGTAACATTTTCAGGCTCATACAAAACAAAAGCAAAGGAAAAGACAATACTGCTCTAGAAGACCATACTTTTTCAAATTCTTTATTTCCACTGTCTGCTCTACTCTATAGTCCTCAAAATCTTCACGTGCACAGGTAAGCCTAGAGATCCCCTCAATTAACTTACATTTCCCTTTTAAGTCCACGCCCCTTATGTTGTTTGGTTACTGTAATGAAAAGTATTTACACTCATTTTCTATTTTGCATCTTATTTTAGATGTATGTCTGTATGATTCCAGCTGCAGCAACCACATTCACACTTCTACTGTCTGTCTTGATTTCCTCATGATTATTTTACATTGCATGCCTCAGAGGGAAGGACAGCATTTTTAGCTCACACAGCACTCAACATATTGCAGCTGGCCAAAAAGTAAAAATGAAGGGTCTGAGCATCACAGTGAATGAACAGATGCAGCTGTACAAAAGGACCAAGACTTATGAGCAGCATACAGCAATAGCCAATGCTGGAATACTACCTAGATGTTTTTCCTAGAGGGAAAAATACCTTCTGGAACTTTGTTCTTCCTTCTTAACTTCACCATACTTCAACATCCTGCATCAATTTTGATGATATCAGAGCGTAAAAAACATAAAAGCTCACTGCATGCACCAATATTTATCAGAGCTAAGGAATGAGATGAACTGTTGCAAAATTTTATTTCCATGAGCTTTTTAATTTGCGCATTGCATAGCACGCAACCCTCCCAGGCAAGCACACTGCGAAAAATAGGGAGGATGACCAGGAAATGAGAGGGTGTTCACAGACACCTGCAGAGGTGAGATCCTGAGCCTCATGATGCAAGGCAGGAGGGACAGTCAGAAGCTGTGCGTGAGCAAGCGATTGATGGAGACTCCTGAGATGGGGGAGGCTAGAAATTTGTGACTTCTTGCAGCAGCAGAAAAACTCATACTCTGCCCTCAGATCTGCGTTTACAGAATTGATAAGGTGTTCTAAGAACCAATGAGGGAGAACAAGCTCCATTAAGGAAGGCTCTGAAACCAACTGAGCTTGAACAGAGCATTAGCAGAAAGCAAGAGGAAGCGGTGGGTGACCGTGGGTGGAGATTCCCTCCTGTGAAGGATGAAGGCACACAACTGCTAAACCACCATGCTGTTACAAGTTGGGTTTTTTTTTAGGATCCCCGATCCATTACACTGCAGAGACACTGCCACTGATTTTTTATTCTTTGGACCACTACCCATTGCTGCACACCCACATGGAGACCAAAGACATTGCCTAGTGCAGATCAGGACTGCAGAGCTCAGGGGGCAAAGTGCAGGAGATGGCACCCCAGGCTTTGGTAACCTTATGGGCTCAGTGAAAGGCGATGATCTTATGGATTTGCGACTCACAAGCAAGGAAGAACTGACTGGAGATATGATATTCAGTGGCAGCCTTCACTGTAGGAACTACGAAATAACTGAGTTCAGGGTCCTGAGGGTGATGTGGAAAGAACGCAGAGTACAGCATTGAAGACCAGGCTCCAGTTTGTTCAGGGAACTGGTTAGTGGGATCTCCTGAGAGGCAGGTTTAGAGGAAATGGAGCTCAGGATAGCTAGCAGGTCTTTCAGGACCACCTCCTCCAAGCACAAAACTCTGGAAAACAAGCAGACATATCAGGAGATGGTCCCTAGCTAAGCAGAGAAGTCAGGATTGACCAACAATGCAGAAAAACAGTGTAGAGGAGGTAGAAGCAGGAACAAGTGACTAAGGAGGAACTGCCTGGACAGGTAGCGACGGTGTTAGGAAAGCCCACGCTCACATGGTTTTGAAACTCCCCTGCCCAGCTGAGAAGGGGAATGATAGTGTGGCCAGAGTCAACCCACCACAGGATGTTATGGGCAACAAGAAGAGCTTCTACCACCACAGGAACAATAAAAGAATAAACAATGAAAACATGCACCAGCTGCTGAACAGGTCAGTTGACTGACCCACAGTGGATGCAGACAAGGCTCTGGACTTCACTGGCAAGGTCTTGTGGTCCTTTGTACCTACAGAGTTCAAGGAGGATAGAAACTACAAGTACTGGAAGAGGATTAAGCCAGGGATCTCTTAAGAAATCTCAGCTTATAAAAGTTCCAGGGAGGACAGATGGGATCTGTAGGAAGATGCTGACAGACTGTCTGATGACATTGCAAGGCCATTCTCTCATATTTCAAAAGCTGTGGAGATCAGGGGAAGTCTCCAACAACTGAATAAAAGCAAATACCGTACCCGTCTTCAAAAAAGACAAGAATAACCTGGGGAGCTACATGTTGGTCAGTCTCATTTTTTTCTGTAGGAAAATCATGGTGCAAATCCTCTTGGAAGATAATTCTGGGCACAAGAAGAAGAAAGTGATTGGGAAAAGCCAGCGCAGATTCACCAAGAATAAATCATACCTGACCAACCTGATTACCTTCTGCGATGAAATTGCTTGATTTGTGGAAGAGGG